ATTTCACGTCAGACGTAGAGCATCATGCAAGCTGGTATTTCATGTATGGCAAAGAAAACTGAAATAAAAGTGTTGGTGACGCCATCCTGTGCACCTAAGGCGCATAAATGTATTCTTAGCTAGAGTAGAGCAAGTTTCATTGGAGTCTCACATGGAGTGTTAATGAACTTCGCAATTAGATAATGTTGGCGCCGGGCTCTAACAAATGAAGGCACGTTTGTTAACGGCCAAGGTGAAATGCAACAGAAAGTATCAAAAGAGCGATTGGGAGACTAAGTAATAGTTAGTTATCCTTCAATAATAAAAAGGAATGCACTGCGTAGGTCTATAAATTCTTGCGATAATACAACCTGTGTAGTAAAGTAGTTTACCGGAACCATGGTAACATGTCCCCGGAACTTTTAATGGGAGCAATCGTAGAGAAGTGGGAACCTCTGATGGCACTAACGCGGTTCAATTTGAATTTCTGTGGTGCCAATTGGTACACCCATTTTGCGGAGTAAATGCTTTGCCCTCATAATGCTATGGATAGGTAGCATAAATTAATATAAATCGTTTAGTAGTGCTACATAGATTATGATGTGTAAACATTTTACTGAGGTAAAGTTACTGAAATAAGGAAGGCCGAGATGGTGGCGGAAAATCAACAGATGGGAATGTGCAGAAAATGCGGTCAACAGATATGCCGGTATTTCTGATAATGGAACGCGTTAAAATGTTGCATTTATTGAAACCTCAACTAACCGTGTACTGTAAACAGGAATCACTTTTAAGAATGGTGTAGATATAAGGTTGAGAAAGCTGCACGGAAATTTAGTCGCACAAACAATGCTCACGGAAGATATGAAATGCGAGAATCTGAAGCAAGACAAGTACGTAGTTTATTCCTAATGATGGGAAATACGTAATTAATAGGTTTGAAACTTACTTGGGATGTCTTGAAGGCAACCTGTAAGTCAATATGAATTGGTAAATGGTAAGAATTGCGAAAGGAGTAACGGGGATGACGAGGGCATCTCTACGTGCATAGTTGAGGAAATACGGAATGAAATAACCGAACTTAATACGGAATGTAGGGTAACGGCTATATTATGTTACCGTAATGCCTAGTCTGTAAACGGGTACTGGTAAATGATCATGAGGTGATAAGGATATAATTATTGTTATCGGTGAAAGGGAATACGTAACTGTGCCAACGGTTTGTTGTTAGTTTGAGTATGTTGCTAAGTGTTACGCAAGTAAGGGTCATGTGGAACAGGTTCATATTGCGAGATAAATATCTTAACCGCGTATAAACTGGGGTGATTGTACGCGTGATTCTGAAATGCAAATGTGGTAATTTACACACATATGCCTATTTACGTAAATAAATTTGCAAGCAGCTGCGTTAATGTTCAACGTATCTGTGTATGGATATATTTATATATATATTTATAATTGTAATTCTATATATATATACAGGTATACCTATATATATATATAACCTCTATATGTACCTATATATATGTACACCTCTCTATATATATACCTATATACCTATACCTATATATATATATATGTGTGTGTACCGCTTGATAATAAGCAAATGAAGCTTCTGTTCTCGAGTAGGCGAGGCACTCGTTTACATATATATGTTCAACGTATCTGTGTATGGATGTATTTATATATATATTTATAATTGTAATTCTATATATATACCGGTATACCTATATATATATACCTCTATATGTACTTATATATATATGTATATCTCTCTATATATATACCCATATACCTACACCTATGTGGCGGATGTGACTCGCCACAAACTAAAGTCACTGGCCCGTGGACATTCGGAAAATGCTATCCAATCCACGAAAATCAGTCGCTTATTCTCACATTCCTGACGAAAACAAACAGTCAAAAATTCTGCGGCGCATTCAAAAACACAAGCTACATTCCTATACAATTACATACGTACATACACCCATATACTTACATACACTGTTATGCTAAACACGTCCTTTTGTACAATTTGTTCACACTATGTTAGCTAAGTATGATCATGCCTGTAAAGGTGTGCCTAGCATTGTCGAGAATAAAAATTTATTTATTTATTTATTTATTTATATACCTATATATAGACCTATATATACCTATATATACCTATATATATACCTATACCTATATATATATCTATATATATACCTATACCTATATACCTATACCTATATAGCTATATATATATATATATGTACCGCTTGATAATAAGCAAATGAAGCTTCTGTTCTCGAGGAGGCGAGGCACTCGTTTACAGGTATGTTACTTATGTAGATGAGGGTAAATATATCGGATTAGATAGATAATGTTATGTATGTGTATACGCATATTGATGCAAATGTAGATGTATATACATACGTATATATATATACATATATAAGCTTAAATATCAATATGTACAGATCTTTATTTCTTACATGCATTTACGTATACCTGTACATATGCAAAGAATTACCACCAACGGTACCTGTGACGATGTGCCACTGTATAATCACATAGCTACTGCTGTACGTGTGGGGAGAGGCTCAGGCATTGTGGTGTGCAATTGGGCAAGAATCACCACGGTGATTCATGGCGACGCCGTAATGCTATGATTTGCAAGCACAGGTAGGAGATGTATGCCATGCATCAGTCGACGTCAACCGTGGGCTATCGCGCTGGTTGTCAGTTATGGAACTTAAGGGTGCGTCAAGGCAACTGGGAGAACACCGGGCGCCTCTTAACATAGTACTGAACAACGACGTGTACTATGATCTCTATTACCATGCATCATGATCGCTTCCAAAAAACAAGCAATCTACCCATCGGTTAAAAAGTCAGCAGTCCATTTGACTGCATTACACCGTCCTTGTGATTATAATTGCTGGTGCCGACCGGAGGCATCATTCATGAACGGCATGGCATATACTATGCAGATAGATGAGTACGCGTAAATTAGTTGGTGGAAATAAATTTAAGCGCCTCATAGTGTGGCGGTGATAAACGGTAAAGGTTGGTGAGATAATCTAAGCACGCCACATGTGGAAATGGCATGTTCATGAAAGGTTACTAACCTGTGGTATTGCAAGGAGTTTCGTTGACTTCGATGTATGCACTGTGGCACGAAGGGTATCGGCGACACTGCAGACATCGGATGTTTAAACCATTCACAAATATTCCCGACCTCATGGGTGAGCTGCTTCATGGCTCGTTACCCACGAATCGAGAGCACTGAGAAATGGTTTGTGGATCCGTGAAACACGTGGGGTACCATGATTGTGGAATCGCCTCAATAGGTACCTGCAATGCAAAGACGCATTAAGTGTATTGGCAGATTGATGTCGATGACTAGCAACGGTGCGCACGTGATGAATTTGATGAGATGGTGTGCTAGATCGGGAATACAGGCATATGGATACAATGAAATGGTTTATAAGAGGAAGGTGACAACACGGATACCAGGAGACCCGTGTGAGGTATATAATGTGTATGAAATCCGCCTTATTGGTTCTCGTAGCATTTACTAACGACTTGTGCTGCGTAACCCTACATGTGACAGTGATTTGGCGCCGCTGCCATAGATAGGAAGGTTATGGAAACCGATTGCAGTTTTGCATTTACGGTTCCTGATGTTCTCATCCTTAGACGATATTCGTACAACTTCCATCGTTGGCGTTCCATCATCGTGGTGGCAAGTTTCGGAATCTGTTCTATACACATGATGTCACTGCGGAGGTATGGTGACGAGGCCTGACCGCGACACTGCATATGTGGCTAAGCCGCTGCTTTATATAACGGAAAGAATGCATCCGCCTCAGTGTTGCTCAGCGCCCTCCTAAAATTAACTAACGCATGTGTCCGTTATTGGCGGCATGGAATGGAAATGGGAATGGAAATTGCTCCCTATGAAGTAAGTTGGTTAGCAACGAATACGCGATAAGGAAAAAATGTACGCAAGTTACTTAAAAATGCTACAAACGCAACAAAGTTACCGAACATATGCCCAAATAATGTAAGCAACGTGGCCAGTTAATAGAAGAGTATTCAGGTAGACAGAACAAGCCAAGTAAAGTGGAATGAAATTTAGCCAGCTTAAAAAGACCTAGTTTAAGTGTAAGTTGGTTTAGCCCAACTGCGGTGAAGAAGCATCCAGAATGCAACAACAGCCTCAGCGGTTGACATACCGTCCTGTGAAAAAGCCATCAGAAGAGGGAAATAATAAGGCTAATCGCGACGGAAACAACGATACAGCTTAACGTTAAACGTGAGAAGCCGCGGTGGACGTTAATGGTTCCTTACATAGGCGAAACAGCTGTTAGGAACGTGACGGACGTTTGGACCATTCAGAAATATTCACCGCTAGGTGAGTGAGCGTGTATCTAGCTCTGAATCCACCAAGAGTGAACACTGAGAAATGGTTTCCGAAGGCTCATCAGAGGCCACGTCTACAATACGAAATGAATATGAACCGGACATTCGATAAAAGAGCACGTGAGGCAGTATAATGATGTAATGTTGTTAAAAAGAAATGTGACATGGAAACATGTGGTGATATACACCGTGATGAACATACCCATGTATTTGTGCATTACTCCGGAGACTAAGAGACAGTCGGAGTAGTGGTGCATGCCATGAGGATATGCGCCGGTTATGAAAACAACGTGTTACAGATTATTAAACCAACCTGACGTCCGAAGAAGTATTTCGGCAGTGGCACATGTAAATTGGAAGCATACCAGCAGTGGCTGATTACTGAAGTAAGCTCCAGGGATGGACAGCGGTTCTGAAAGACAAAAGGTGAACAAGCAATGCACTTACCAGAGGTGTAACGGAGTATATACGCGGCAGCACGTTACATTCACGGAAAGTAGTAGTGACGCATCATTCCAGTAATCATCACAGAGAGGCGTTGTAAAAGGCATCTATTAATATCCCATACCGTTACGGGATATGCTACGGAATAGATGGGTGCGGAATATATGATGTGGTCGCGGGCCCCCACCCCCCAGCACCCACCGCCCAGCCCCCAGCCACAGCCCAGACAGAGACCCCGCAGCAACAAGACAGCCACCTCAGACACCCACGACCAGCCCAGCCCCCCCCCGTCCCCACCCAGGCAGCACCCAGCCACTGCCCCACCCCCCCCAGCAGAGGACCCACACCCCAGCCCCCCCCAGGAGCAGTCCACCCCCCACCACGAGCAGCTTACCTCAGACCCAGCAGCCGCCAGGCTCGCCCCCTCCAGACCCAGCCCCCCCAAAGCCACAGCCTACAGCAGCAGACGCCCCCCCAGCCCTCACACCTCCCAGTCCGACAGACCAGCCCAGCAGAGAGCTCCAGAGCACAGAACACCCTCCCCCTCCTCACCCAGGTCCCACCCAGAGCAGTCCCCCACACAGACACCAGACAGGCAGGCCCCCCCCAGCCTGCCCAGCCGCGCACCAGACCAGCGCAGACAGCCCCCCCCCTTCCAACCCCAGGCTGCGCCTACCTCCCAGACCCCCCCAGAAGCTAGACCAGCTGCCCCCAGGCCCCCCCCACCACCAGCAGCCAGAGCCCAGCCCCCCAGAGCACAATCAACCCAGCAAGCCAGAGCCGTCAGCCAGCCAGTACACCCATTCCCCACTTGCCCAGCCAGCAGCACTCAAGCCCCAGAGACCCAGAGCCCAGAGGGCCCAGCCCAGCCACCCACTCCAGAGCCCTCTGATGTCCCAGCCCACCCTCCCAGACCAGACAGACAGCCCAGAAACTCACCCCCCCCCCAGCCCCTCCTCCCCCCCTCCAGGGCCAGACAGGCCACAGCTCCCAGCAGCATCAGTGCTCAGCAGCCCCCAGAGCCAGCAGCACTATCCCCCAGAGCAGCCCACCCCCCAGATCACCAGGCACGCAAAGTCGAGTCAGCCCACACGCGCCCCCCCCAGGGCAGCAGAGCCAAGTCTCCCGCAGCTCCCACACCCCAGAGCAGCCCTCCCTCAGCAGCCCGCCATCAACAGAGACAGAGCCCCCCCCAGACCCCCCACCCCCCAGTGGCAGAGCCCACCCAGATGGAGCCCAGACAGACACACACCCAGCCCCCAGAGCCAGACCCCCCACCTCCAGACCCCCCCGTCACCCCCCCACTAGCAGTCACCCCCCCCCAGACTCAGACACCCCAGCCACACAGAACCCACCCCCCCCAGCAGGCAGCTCACCCCAGGCAGCAGCACCCCCCAGGCCAGCCAGAGCCCAGCCCCCCCCCCCGCCAGCCCTACTCCACCCAGCCCCCCCCTCCCAACAGAAGAACCCCCCAGCAGCAGCCCAGTACGCAGACCCACCCCACAGTCCAGTCACCCATCCGCACCCCACAGGCACAGACCCCCAGCCCTCGTCATCTCAGCCCCCCCTACCTCAGTCCACCTCCCCCCCTCCAGAGCCCCTGCAGACAGATCAGAGCCCCCCCCCTCACGAAGCAGCTCCAGCCCAGACCACAGCCCCAGTACCCAGCCCAGAGCAGTACGCCAGCCACCAGCAAGCAGAGCACCCACAGCCCACCCTCACCCCCAGCCCAGACAGATCAGCACCCCCCCGACCACAGCGAAGAGCAGTGCCAGCCTCCCCCCGCGCAGCAGCCCCCCCCAAGCCCAGACGCACAGATCCATCCCCATCCTGACCCAGCCGATCCCACCAGACCGCAGCAGCAACCAGAGCAAGCCCCAGCCATCCCCCCCCCCCTCCAGCCCCCCCCCCGCCCCTCCCCCCCCCACTCACTCTTCCCCCCCCCCGACCACCACTCCCCCCCCAGCCCCCAGACCCCAGCCCCCACACTCCCCCGTCCGCCCCCCCCCCCTCCCCCACACCCCCCCACCCTCTCCACACCCCCCCCTCGACCCCCCCACCGCTGCCGCCCCCCCCCCTACCCCCCCACCGCAGCTCTCTCCCCACCCCACCCCCAAATCTCACCTCACCCCACCCCAGCCAGCCCACAGCCAGACCTCCCGCACACCTAAGCTCCCCCTCCACTCGCTCCCCATTTCCCACTCAACCAGGACCCCTACACCCCCTACTCAGCCACACTCCACCAGACACCCCATACGCCCAGCCCGCCACCACTTTCCATCCCCCCAGTCAGCTAATCCCCAGCCCCCCCACCCCCCAGTACAGACCTCCAACCAGACCCAGCCCCAGAGCCAGCCCTCAGTCAGAGCTCACCCAGCCAGCCACCACTTGCCCAGACCACAGACTTTCCAGGCCAACAGCCCCTGTAAAACCCTCAGCGCTCCAGGCCCCCATGACACTACAGCCACCGAGCCAAACCCAAATGACCCCCCCGCGCAGCAGCTCAGGACCTGACCCTCGCCCACCCTAGGCCCAGGTGAGAACAGCTCACCCAGGCAAGCTAACTCTTACACAGCCGACGCAGCATTAAGATACCTGCACACAGTGCAGCTAGACTTTCATGTCGTCCAGGGTCGTCCACCAACCAGCCAAAAGAGCATGATTGCTGCCCTCCCAACTCTCATACATTCTCGCCACACAGACTGTGAGT